GGCAGTACAGCAGTTTCCCCTTATGTAACCGTTATCAACCTCGGTTATCAGTGAGATTTTAAATCACGCTAAAGGTAAGCGGCAAATGTCAGACCGAAGTTGCCTAGTCCCTAGGCCTCATTATTCCGCGCGGTCAATACGTTTCGGGTCACGTGATCCTAGCACGCGTGTTCGCCTCGAAGACGTCACCGAAATGCATTGGCCTAGACGGTCTGGGAAAACGCCGTACGGGGACTAGGCACTCCTCAAACAGTTCCTCAAACTAGGGGATGGGCAGATAACGGTTGTCAAAGTAAATGTTGAGGATCAACCCGACTGAAAGTACTCGCCGATTTTCACTCCGATTTTTGCCATTTTTCCCCATAGCGGCGATTGGTCTCCGCAGGCTAAGCTGATCAAAATAGTAAGTAAATAGTAAGCCCCTTGTTTATATGCCCTCCTAAAACCCCGCACGAAGTTGTATAAGCCCCACGGGGCTTGTAATCGGAAATTTACTGTTTCGCATACTTTCCGGTTGAAAAATGCTACCCGGCCAAAAGGTGCGTCTTTTCAATGCTGAAATGATAGATATTCCTACCCTTTCGTATACTTCAGTTAGAGAAATTCCCTATACCCTTTGACATACGTGACCCCTGAAAAATGTACCTCTTTCGGGCAGTTCCCCCCGTATATATCGTTATAGGGAGTGCCCCCCCCCCCTCCCCGGGCTGGTGAGCACCCCCTTCGCTACCAAAGATGTCCTTAAAAGGTAATAACGTGACCGTTGATTACAATTTTTAGTTTGAGGAGGTCTCATATTATTGGAAAATACAGTAAACCATTTATGTCTTCAAACCTCCGGCATGACACGGTAGAAAAATCAAGTATTTGCACTTTACGTGCTCTTACGGTTCACGTAAACGAGAAACAGCGATCACAGATTCTGCACTCAGTTTGTTGCCCCTTTTCCCGCTACTTTCGCTTGTAAATACCTTACCTTCTTACCTGAGCAAATCAAATATCTGAACGATTTTGGGGCAAATTTTAGATTATCTTTCATGTCCCACATAAACCAAAACCAAAACCCCTGACAATTTCATCTTTAACCTTTTAATAACGTCAAGTTTTCCTTTGTGGTATCATATATTTACAATACGCTGATGAATGGCGCGGGGCTTCAAATTTCCCAAGAAAAAGGACTCTAAAATGTATCTAAAAATAAATAGGTCAGTGAAAACGCCGTGACATGGGCCTAGTATAAGAGTTACTCACTCCCAGGTTATGGGCTCCTAATCTGCCGTTATGGCTAGCGAAATTACTAACCTTGAAACTGCCTCGAGACTTTGCCGCCTTCTTTAAAGTATCTTTAAAATTATGCGAGTTTTCGTACTGTGCGGATGTGCAGGGTTATTTGGCCGGTTTCCGGCCACCTGCTCCTGAGTTTCCTGCAATAAATTTCAGCCGATAACTTTTCCTTCGAAACTCGGAGTTAAAAAATAGCTTGGGCATCCAGGGTGATTTTTTCATTAAATTAAACACTGAATTAAATCAGAGCAAGCAAACGATTCTAAAAAAGAGAGAGAGATGTAAATAAAGAAAAGGGCACAGGGCAGCCATGTAATGCACGTAGGAAACGAAAAAACGATCAAAATGAGAAATAAAATGATATGAAAAACTATCACTGATAGAACCTTATTTAAATAGATTATACCTCAGCATGTTTGTTTCTTGTGATGTTTGCGATTTAAACTGTTTGTTTTATTTTACTATATCCGATCCCATTCGTGACCCCCACGCGCAAGCGCCCTACTATCGGCTAATCACAACGGTGGGTAATTGTCGTTTATCAGGCCACATACAAACAATTTATTGCTTAATTTGTTGGAAAATAATAAGGTCACTCGGAATCGTCGGTTTCGACCGCTAAACAGTAAAAAAAGTACTTAATTCAAGCAGGTGCTGACAGTTTCATTGGTCAGTTTCATCTTTCATTTACAAATTTCTCCAAAAAAATCAAGTTTTTCTCTCTATTACTTGCTGACTCACCAAGAGCCATAATGGCTTTTGGACTCACTCAAAATAAAAGGCCTTTTTTTACTTCTACGCGAACCGACCCACGACTGCAAAACTTTTCTTCAGTGTTAAGCTTTGCAATAAATATACTTGTAATTACCCCACGTATTACTCACCATATACTGAATACTCTGTAAACCTTTTAACACTGCCATATTATAGTAAACTACGAGTCGCTAAGTATTCAGCAATTGTTTGACCCCTATAAGTTTCTTTAAGTCAAAATCTTGACATACCTGTTTTGAATCAAAATATTACCGAACGCAGCACAACCGGAAACGATGTTTTTTTTGCTTTACTCAAATGTCAAAGTGGAGAAAAAATTAATTCAACAATTCGCTACGTGCGCACATATCCAACTGAGGGCCCTCAACAGGTTTCCCGTGACCCAGGATTCCCTTATTTGAAGCTCGGGATTCGGGATTTGAAAGCAAAATCGGGACGAGTTTCGGGATTGAAATGCGTGGGAGGTGGGATGCCAAAAATAACCCTCGGGATTGCACGAAATTTTGGGTCGGGATTACGGGATTATTGAAGAATCCTATTGGGACCCTAAATACTGGTTGGGACGCAAATTAAAATGAAAACGTTAAAAGCACAATTTTTAACATAGCGGGCGCTAAACCAGAAGTTAATTGCCCAGTAAGGATACACAATGCAATTCAATGAGATCACCTTGAACATAAGGGCCAGCTCTACCGGGTTTCAAACCAGGGGATCTTTTAACCATAGGCAATATTTGTGGCATACGTACATTACATAAAACCGCCACAAGGTTTCTTTCTTCAAAAAGATGTTTCACTGCGGTCTTCGGCTCTTCTTTCAAGGTAAACTTTAGGCCTTTTTTTCAGTTCTAATTCTGACAACAACTCTTGAAAAACACACTCGAATCTCTTCCCACTTCCACCCGCGCCATAATTGACTTGACATATGTGCGCGAAAACGAGATATAGGTCGATCAAATTTAATATACTCAAAAGGTATGATGTGGACACTCAAATGGATACTCAAATGTTATGATATAGATTTCAGCCAATCGGAACAAAGTATTTATTTTGACCAATCACTGTTTTTACGCTCAGAATCTGAGCGTAAAAAAAACACTTCCACTCTTCGTGCTCTCCTCCATACCCTTCCCGTTTTAGTTAATGCCTGCTATGCAGCTTAGAGGTGGGGCCTGGGGAAACGGCTTATTTTTGGGCCAAATAGCTTTTGCCTAAACTGACCTTGGCCCTAGATTGGTCAAAAGGTACACCACCCCCCCCCCTCCTCCGCTTTCCTATCTTGTATGTTAGTGAGCATAAAAAAACCTTCCCCCCTTCGTGCCCTCCCCCATACCCTTCCCTTTTTAGTTAATGCCTTGTTTTGAGCTTGGAGGTGGGGCCTGGGGAAACGGCTTTTTTTCGGGCCAAATAGCTTTTTCCTAAACTGACCTTGGCCCTAGATTGGTCAAAAGGTACCCCCCCCCCCCCCCCGATTTTAAACATGTTTTAGGTATGCGTTCATTACAATCGACGTGATAATGTAGGTGATAGATCCTTTAATTCAAGGGTGTAGCGTGAGATTTTAAAGGTGTACGCATGGGAAGTAAATTTTCGCCCAGAAAATTTCTTAATTTATTGTCTCGGAAATGCCATTTCCTGCGTTTTCTGCAGAACATTTTAAGAAAATCATGAATACGACGAAAATGCAAAATAT